TTTAATTTAACAACTTTTATAATACACGTTATAAGTCACAGCAATTCACAATATCGATAATTTTGCTCTCTACGAGTGCGAAACAAACACTAGCTCAAAACAGAATCGGAAATTACCCGAAACTCACCATGACTACTGTTTGCTTAATCTGGCTTTTACTGCCAGGCTTATACACTAAAAAAGAGGCATCTCCAAAATTCGGGAACTTCCCCGATACTTCGAGAAACTTCACGAGAAACATCACGCTGCTTTCTTTTGGGATAGACTTCTGTTAAACTAAACACACTTATATCCAAATAGGACTATACTTGTAGATCTCCAGGGAAAAAACCTGAACTGAGAAAATGGCGTGAATTCAACAGATAAGCTACCGTTTTTTGTCCAGTTGACAGTATCAACTCATGACCTTTGTTCTCCCATAGTACTGCTTTGTTTTAACATACTGGTAATCTCAATTAAACCTGCAGCTGGTTTTGCAGTCGCTAATCCTTTCAACTGGGAAGCAATATGGAACTGTAATATTTAGAAGGCAATCTCAACGACTTTCTGAACTATGTGTGTTGTGCTAAAACTGCATACAAACTAAATAATCGAAACATTTAAAAATCCCTATACAACTAAAGGGGGTCGAAAACATAAGACAGATGTTGTCATAATGTAAAGTACTCTCTTCTCATATTGACTGCCGTTATCATTAATTGTTATGACTAATTTCAAAAATGAAGTTAAATGCTTTAATTTATGTTTAATTATTGTGTTCAGATGCCTGTTTTTATGAAGTCATCCATAGAAGTCACAGAAACTCATGAGTAGAATGAAAATCTACTGTTGCGTCAGTGAGGTCACGTGACTAGTATCACGCCACTTCTTTCTCGAACCTTCGTGAATTGTCGGGAGGTTGCTGGATTGAGGGTGGTCTGGTATATATAAGATGGTCACAACTTGACGGGACAACAGAGGTATTGAGTAATTGAACTGCAGTCAGAGAGTGTGTAATTGAACGGAGTATTGTT